TTTTTTGGTTGCAGCCATTATTGTTGTTTGGCGGGTCCAGGCTGGATTTGAACTCGCCACCTTAAGTGTATGTGGCTGGCGCCTTAGCCGCTTGAGCCACAGGCACCAAGCCCCAATAGTGTATTTTTGATGTTGCTTCAATTGCCCAGGAGGTCTTCCTCATAAAATTTTCGCCCAGGCCAATTTTTTCAAGTGTTTTCCCTACACTTTCTTCTAGTATTTTTATGGTTTCATGTTTTAAGTTTAAATCTTTAATCCAGTGAGAGTCTATCTTAGTTAATGGTGAAAAGTGTGGGTCCAGTTTCAGTCTTCTGCAGGTTGCCAGCCAGTTCGCCCAGCACCATTTGTTAAATAGGGAATCTTTACCCCACTCAGTGTTTTTAATTGGCTTCTCAAAGATCAGGTAATGGTAAGTAGCTGGATTCATCTGTTGGCTCTCTATTCTGTTCCATACATCTACCTCTCTATTTTTGTGCCAGTACCATGTTGTTTTAATCAATATCGATTTATAGTATAATCTGAGGTCTGGTTGCATGATTCCTCCTACTTTGTTTTTATTCCTGAGTAATGTCTTGGCTATTTGAGGTTTTTTCTGATTCCATATAATATTAAGTATTATTTTTTCAAGATCTTTAAAATATGACAGTGGGGCTTTAATAGGGATTGCATTAAAATTATATATTGCTTTGGGTAATATGGACATTTTAACAATGTTGATTCTTCCCAGCCATGAGAAAAAATTGGATTTTAAGCTGGGTATAGTGGCTCATGCCTATAAATCCTAGCACTTTGGGAAGCTGAGGCAGGAGGATTACTTGACCCCAGGAGTTAGAGGTTACAGTGAGGTATTATCACACCAGTGTACTTCAGCCTGGGTGACAGAGCAAGACCCTGTCTTTTTTTTTTGGGGAGACAGAGTCTCACTTCGTTGCCTTCAGGAGAGTGCAGTGGCGTCATAGCTCACAGCAACCTCCATCTCTTGGGCTTAAGCGATTCTCTTGCCTCAGCCTCCTAAGTAGCTGGGACTACAGGTATCCACCACAACATCTGGCTATTTTTTGTTGCAGTTGTCACTGCTGTTTTAGCTGGCTGGGGCCAGGTTCGAACCCGCCACCCTCACTGTATGGGGCCTGGTGCCCTACCCACTGAGCCACAGGCACTGCCCATGATCCTGTCTTAAAAAAAAAAAAAAAGCCAGGCACGGTAGCTCCCACCTGTGCTACGGTGACCCACAACATGTGCTACTTCATGAAATAGCAACGAAAATAATTTTATGGTTGGGGGTCACCACAACATGAGGAACTGTATTAAAGGGCCGCGGCATTAGGAAGGTTGAGAACTACTGCAGAGAGTCTAGACAATGAAGAGTATGTTTATCATTTGGCACTCTACTTCTTAGCCCTTTTCCTTCACCTTTTACAACCAACATGTTTCAGATGCCTCTGCCAACATGTGTTCCAGAGCTCCTCTTTGTCAGCTGGTCACTATTTATGGACTGCTCATATTTCAGGCCCTGGTGTTTGCACCCTCGGTAACCTTTGTTTAGGTTGCTGCTTCACGAAGTCTGTTGCATTTGTTAGTATAGGCTCATCCATAGTTTGAACCAAAATCTGTTTAGATATTTCCTTTGGGAAGTTAAGGATGTACCTCATAGATATTTTTGTCTTAGGTTTATGTTGTGATGGCTGCTGTGCTAGAATAGAGTGTGAACACTAGCCCTGTCTTCCTCTGTTGCAGGTGAATCTGGAAGGGAAAGCCAATCCTCTGTCACTTCTACAGATGGCCTCCCCAAGTGGCCTCTGTGTCTTGGTTCGCTTGCCCAAGCTGATCTGTGGAGGAAAAACACTACCAAGAACGTTATTGGATGTTTTAGCAGATGGCACCATCTTGAAAGTCGGAGTGGGATGTTCAGAGGATGCCAGCAAGCTTCTTCAGGATTATGGCCTTGTTGTTAGAGGATGCCTAGACCTACGATACCTGGCCTTGCGGCAGAGGTGTGGTTTATATGTGTGCTGTGATTCTTGTAGCTATGGGGCAATTATTTTAGCAAGATTTGTAGATTACTGGGAATTAATAATGAAACATGTCAATTCTAGAATTCTAGAGGCTTCTGAGGTGCATACTGAATTTGTGAGGAGACATTCCAATTTCTGAGACAACTTTAGTTACCTAGCACTACGTCTTTCTAGATGAGACATTAATAAAATGTCTTTGTGGCTCGGCGCC